TAGGCACGAGACTGTTTTGCGGCAGAAACGGGCGGAGTCCGAAATTGCAATACCCTCAATTAGCACCAATTACTCTAACTATATTCTCAGTCATTCGTGAACATTTGTTAAGTATTTATTATGCTACAAGCATGGGTACCTGCTTTTGAGATTTCAACACCAGATGGTGAGTAGTTGCTGTCGCTCATGGACATCAGCAATACGAGAGGCAGAGCTCAGAGAGGCAAGTCGCTGCCTACCGTTTAATATTTTCCACAAGCCTCGATTGAAGAAATGGGTGCTCAAGCTCCCAATTTTTTATTTAACCGTTCAAAGTATTGGCCAATGGTTGCGATCCGGTTGTAGTAGATTCAGCGAAGTAATTCTCTTGCTAGCATTAGCAATAATCTCAGGTTGAGCTCGTGAGCTCACCTACCGGTCTGTACGAAGTTAGAATACCCAGATAGGCGGCTAACAGCGCTTAGGTAGGGGAAAAAACTCACTAACTATGTGGTAAGAAAGCGTTTTATTGTTTTGTGATAAATTTTAAAAGTTTTGTGATAAACAAATAATAAACGCTGCGTGCGCTGATAATAATTAGGAAGCGTGGACATTTGGATTTTAATTTTAATTGTACGCCGCATTAGTAATTGTAAACGCGATTAGATTACTTTTTAAAAAGTTCTTCGTTTTGTTTAAATTGAATTCTAATGGAATTCCTAAAATAAAAGCGAATCTTTTGCTAATGGCATGTTACAGATGAAGCGTCAAGATCGTGTTGATTTGAACTTGAACGTTTTTAAGTGAGAAAAACCGTGAAGATGACGATCTAACAATTAGTTCCCAAGCGGAGTCAATGTCGTGTTAATGAATCAAGTCTTTGTTAAGGGAAAGGTTTTAATTTTAAATTAAGATGCCTTGTTTGGCTAGATCAATTTTTCAAGAGGCAGCCGGTAATGACGCTGACGTTTAAAATGTAATTTTAGGAACATAAGTTTTTTGGCAGAATATCTTGACAGTGAAATTTTCATAGTATTTTTTTATTGTCATCGATGTCTTTGTTATCTTTCATAATCATTGGACATTCCATGGATGCTGTTAGTCAACCAGTGTTGACTCTTTTCCAAGTCTTTGGAATAATCTGGTAGAGCATCTTGTGGAGACCGCACGGGTAGGTACCACCGCCTACTCGTTGAGTCTCACATACCCTGCGCGCCCCTTTTGCGCGGGTACCTCGTAGGAGGTTAGGCTCCGTAACCGAAAAAAAAAAAAAAGTTACCACCGCCTATGCCTGTTACTACCGTGAAGCAGTTACTTTACAGGTTACTGTATATTATTTTTAAACATTAGACATATTCTCTGTAATAAATTTTGTCTAAAAAATTATTACTTCTTTGTTTCAAATAATAACCATAACAATTAATTCTTTTACGTCGATTGCCAAAAAAAGTGGGAGAATGATACGTTACATGTTATTGTTTAAGGTCATCATCATGATGAGGTATAACTTCGTAATAGATATGTTTTTGAATTAATTAAAAATAAATATTTTTGCAGTGCGATGACCCTATTAAATTGACTTTGCTCAGATCTATACTAATAATATAAAGAGGAAAGATTTGTTTGTTTGTTTGTTTGTATTGAATAGGCTCCGAAACTTCTGAACCGGTTTGAAAAATTGTTTCACTGTTTGGAAGCTACACTATTCCCGAGTGACATAGGCTATAATCTTTTTTGAAAAAAATTAGGGATCCTTACTAAAACTCCAATAATGTAACCCAAGGTGTAAAAAAATTTCCTCAAATATTCTTTACATCGCGTGCCCTGCGAAAACTATTGATGATAGAATAAAATAATGTATAAAGACTTTGTAGAATACATTATTATTTAAAAAAAGTGTCGCGACAGCATATGTCTAACTATTATTATTATGCCGCAATAAGTGTTCTTTCATTTAAAAAAATAAAACAACATTAAATATCGTTGAAATTTTTGTTAAAGACCCGAGCGGAGTCGGAGCAGTCCGCTAGTATACTATAAGGTTATTAAAGTGCTTCTGTTTTAATTAAAACAACTCTGCCAACCGTGACCACAGTAACTGAATATTCTAAAAATCGTAAATTATATAATGACAATGAAAAACGCGAGAATAAATCGTAGAAGTAGCTGTGAATAAATCACGCACCGTCGTCCGGTCTCAATTTAGGATTCCCTGTGTTATAGGTACCAGAGTCTGAATAGAACTTTTTTTATGTCTCAGATGGGTAGACGATCTCACAGCCCACTTCGTGTTAAGTGGTTACTGGAGCCCATAGACATCTACAACGTAAATGCGCCTTCCATCTTGAGATATAAGTTCTAAGGTCTCAGTATAGTTATAATATGCGTTTTGCGTATAACATACGAAGTGCGCGTTTGGGATGGTATGGACATGTGATGAGACGAAATGAAAATGAGGTTGGTGAGAGAATGTTAACTATGAATGTGGAACGACATAGAGGAAGAGGTAGAGCTAAGAAGAAATGAATGGATTGCGTGAAAGACGATATGGGTAAGAAGGGAGTGAGTCAAGAAATGGTATATGATAGCAGAGTATGGCAGGAGAAAACATGTTGCGCTGACCCCAGGTGACTGGGAGAAGGGCAGGATAATGATGATTGAGATCTTTCAGTGGTGTGCAATTTTTATTCCTCGAATTTACATCGCCACAAAATGGCGCTCGGTTTGTGATTTTCTCGCATTCACATTCAAAACATGTCTGACTTATGAAAATCTGACTTATAAAAAGCATTCAAAACAATTACTCAAATAAAATAAAAATAAACGGATTCTCACAGTGAAGGTTCTAGCAAGTTTTATTAATTTTCTCAAACCACGTCACACGATCACATCATCTGGAGTTATCAGATGAATCATCCTAATGGTGGCACTACACAAACAACTTTAATTGATGTTCTATGATGAATAAGCTTTTTTTTTTATTGCTTAGATGGGTGGACGAGCTCACAGCCCACCTGATGTTAAGTGGTTACTGGAGCCCATAGACATCTACAACGTAAATGCGCCACCCACCTCGAGATATAAGTTCTAAGGTCTCAGTATAGTTACAACGGCTGCCCCACCTTTCGAACCGAAACGCATTAGTGCTTCACGGTGGAAATAGGCGGGGTGGTGGTGGTACCTACCCGTGCGGACTCCCAAGAGGTCCTACCACCAGTGATTACGCAAATTATAATTTTGCGGGTTTGATTTTTATTACACGATGTTTTTTTACACGATTTTTATTACACGAAGCCTAGTGTCGTTTGGAGTGAGAAGCTTAGTTAATAGATTTTTTTTTTATTAAACTGGTGTTCTTGAAATCGAATGATCCTATTGAAATAAGTCTCGTTTGAAATTGATTTTTTTAAATTTATTTTCTTATTGCTTATATGGGTGTACGAGCTCACAACCCATATGATGTTAAGTGGTTGAAAAAACAATGGCCTTAATTTAGGAAGGTTAAGGAATAATATCGTGTAATAAAAATCAAATCCGCAAAATTATAATTTGCGTAATTACTGGTGGTAGGACCTGTTGTAAGTCCGCACGAGAAGGTACCACCACTCTGCCTATTTCTGCCGTGAAGTGATCATACGTTTCGGTTTGAAGGGTGGGGCAGCCGTTGTGACTATACTGAGACCTTAGAACTTATATTTCAACGTGGATGGGGTATTTACGTTGTAGATGTCTATGGGCTCCAGTAACCACTTAACACCAGGTGGGCTGGCGAGGTGTTCTTTGGGCGAGCCCCGCGTCTAGTTTCAGTGTTGACCGCGATAACCCCTTATCTCGCTCGGGTTCTAATTTCGGGGGGGATCGGACGCTTAAGCGAGAGTGCATGGGTGTCGTTTAATGAGTAGGGCCCTAAATACCATCTTTGGGTGCTTGGTCCGCTCCAAACATCTGCGGACGGTCCAGTCCTATATACTCCACGCGCCCCCTAATCGTGGGGGCATCGTAGGAGATTCAGCCCGCGGCCCAATAAAAGGGGTATGCCACTAAACCAACGAGGACCAGTTAATTAATAATTGGTTTTAAGCTAAATTAATTAAATTAAACTGGAAGCATTCAGTCTCAAACACACATATCTCGCATGAAATGACCAGCTCCGACGGGCCATGAATTCATATACTCGTATACTGAATGTCAACCTAAAAATTCACATGATAATTTCCCATTGAGCTTGTGAAATGAAAATCTGCGACCTTGTACTACCGTGTATGGAGACGACGTGTGATCTCGTTAAGGCTCGTAGCGTCCATTATCACTCGTCCCTCGACAAACTTAACCTTGCTGTTGTTGTTATTAAGAATGACCCGTGCATTTTAATTGCCATCAAATAGGTTATTATTCAATTATATTGACTTTATTTTAAATTTTCATAGAGAATAAGTTTAAAATACAACACGGCCTAATATCAAATCAAATATTTTTGTAGATTCTCGGGATCCTTGTCGGGGTGGGTGGACATAATGAAATACTTACTGTACCGTCATCGGATATTGATTACAGTGAAAGAGTTCTTGTTGATGTCTTAATCAAATGAATAAATGAAGTGGATGAATGACAGATGCATAACACATACATGTTTATAATATTAAATTAAGCTTCATTATATACAAGACCATAGGATTGCGAACCTGGTAGTTTCTGGGGTATACCAGTCATCAAATTCTGTCAGCTGGACAAACACCTCAATTTTTGTTTATTGCTTATATGGGTGGACGAACTCACAGCCCACCTGGTGTTAAGTGGTTACTGGAGCCCATAGACATCTATAATGTAAATATCGCCACCCACCATGGGATATGAGTTCTAAGGCCTCAGTATAGTTACAACGGCTGCCCCACCCAGGGTGGTGGTGATACGTACCCGTTCGGACTCACGATAGGTCCTAACACCAGTAAATTTGGCTGGCAACCTTTAGCTTGATGATCTTTTTATAGACGCGTTAATGTAACCTTTATTGTAAACTTCAGCTGGACGCCCAACAGCGCTACACATTGTTCCAGCGAGGACTATGGGAGGCCGCGCAGCAAATACCTCGTGGAGCTATCAGGGACTTTGCGACCTTCAGACAACTCCGGCTTCTGTCTATTATAGGACCTGCAGCTCTACCCCCCGATCAACTGGATAGGGTAAGTTATTATGTTAACTTAGATGACCAACTCAAACTTGGATAACCAAAGTGTCGAGGTCAAATTCGGTTTTCGGTAGCTGGTCACTTAACAAATATGGACCAAATGTAAAGACCTTCAGATCGGAATTTACGAATGTTTTGCAACAGATATAGGTAGGCAAGCACACACAGAGGTAGGCACACACCTGTGCATCACCAGTAAAGTATTTAGGGCTATGAGGCAGGAAAAGTTGATGGAAATCGAAGGTTAAAAAAGCATAAGACTCCAAATTAAGTTATCGAAAAAAGTAAGTAAGCAGTAGGTAATAGGTTGTGCCTCCGGTATTCGTGTTCTTCTCAGTGGAACGTAATCCACTCTGTTTGGTTGATAAATTATTATTAGCTTAGGATCCTCTGACCGAAATTTCATTTATTACCTTGCTCACCTTTCAGTACAACCGTATAATAAACGACATGCTGGCTGTTTACAATACTGCCGAGGTCTGCGCCTACAACGAGCCATTCAAGTGTGGTCTCCATCTCCAACCGGAGCTGCAGTACATCATGTCCCACTCCAGAGACTGGGACGAACTTCAGCACATCTGGACCGAGTGGAGGAGGAATACCGGTAGAAGAGTACGGGATTTATACGAGCAGTTGGTTGACTTGACCAATCAGGCAGCCAGATTAAACAGTAAGTTTGTACTGCTTGTGGGAATCAGCAGCAAATTTCTAACGGAATACATAATTCATCTGTTTTCGGGTAAACCTCTTATATATCAACTGATTTAAATAAAATAATCAATCAACGTCTCTCATCTCAATATTTACATGTAATCTGGCTCAGCTATTTTACCAGAGAAAAAAGGGAGTTTGTTCATGACTTAATTAAGAGACCATAAACAAGCGCACGTGTCGCACGAATGTCATTTTTGTAATTGTATTATTTTTTTGTAGATTTTACTGACGCATCCGCGTACTGGATGTTTCCATACGAGACCTCAAACATGCGGCAGGAGGTCGATGACGTCTGGCAGCAGGCAAGTATACAAAGATATTCTAATGATCAACATTTTAGGCCTGTACGGACGTGAAAATCTTTCAATAAGTCATATTAATTTCATACTTCAATTGGTTCTAAGGTGGATAAACGAGTTAACGTATTAGTCATGATAGTTACACGTTTATGAAATCAAAACTAAAAGAGCCTTCAATCATTCCAGATCAAGCCCCTTTACGACCAGCTTCACGCCTACGTTCGTCGTCGTCTGCGAGAAGCCTACGGTCCCGAGAGAATCTCCAGATCGGCTCCGTTACCAGCCCACATCCTGGGAGACATGTGGGGACAGAGCTGGTCGGGTATCGTGCCTTTTACCCTTCCTTACCCTGGAAAAAATTTGCTGGATGTCTCTCAGGAAATGGCGAAGCAGGTATGTTCTTTAGGTCTACCATCACCATCATCGTTATCCTGCCCTTCTCCCAGTCACCTGGGGTCGGCGCAACATGTTTTCTCCTTCCATAATCTTCTATCATATACCATTTCTTCGCACACGCCCTTCTTACCCATATCGTTTTTCACGCAATGCATCCATTTCTTTTTAGGTCTATATGTTCCTCTATATCCTTCCACATTCATAGTTAACATTCTCATACCAACCTCATTTTCATTTCGTCTCATCACAATGTCCATACCATCCCAAACGCGCACTTCTCAGCTTCTCTGTCACTGGTGCCACTTACAGACTTCCTCTAACATATTCATTCCGTATTCTATCCATTCTCGTTACTCCACACATCCATCGCAACATTCGCATCTCTGCTGCATGCAATCTTTAGGTCTACCATTACCTCCAATATCACGTCACTGATTACGTAGGCATCTAATATGATGCAAGCAAAACAAGCACACAAAATGAATTTAGAATTCATAGAGGTGACCTCTGATCCGTTCAGAGTGGTTTATAGCCCTACCAAATGTTATTCTTCTAAGGTCTTAATAGAGGTCTCAGTGGTAAGCGTCGGCTGTAGGTCGTGGATCTGGCTTTGTGAGGCGGGGACTAGGACGTACATGTGTTTCCGAAAGCTATTACAAAAAAATGCATTTCACTAACATCATATATTATGTTATGGTCCTTGGGTATAAATTACGTTAGACTCAAATTTCAATTAACCAAAAGTTGGAGGACTAAGAACCTATTTGTTTTTTGCGGTGTTCGCGAGTCGTAGCCATAATTAAAACTACTTTGATGGTTTATATCGTGTTTTTTTTTCATTTTATTATTTTAAGCGGTGGTAGGACTTCTTGCACGCATAGGTAGATACCACCGCCCTGTCTAATTCTGCCGAGAAGCAGTAATGCGTTTCGGTTTGAAGGGTGGGACAGCCGTTGGAACTATACTGAGGCCTTAGAACTTATATCTCAAGGTGAGTAGAGCATTTACGTTGTAGATGTCTATGTGCTCCAGTAACCACTTAGCACCAGGTGGGCTGTGAGCTCGTCCACCTATTCAAGCAATAAATAATAAAAAACATGTCGAATATTTCAGTTATTGTAACAATGACTCGTTCAGTTTTGTAGTCCGTATGTTGTTTCAGGGTTTCACTCCACTCACAATGTTTCAATTAGCTGAAGAGTACTTCGTGTCCATGAATATGTCTGCCATGCCTCCTGACTTTTGGGCCCTCAGCGTGTTGGACCAGCCCCCGGACAGACACATCCACTGCCAGCCTTCTGCTTGGGACTTTTGCAATAAGCACGACTATCGGTAAGTGGGTTAATAAATACAGTATAGGGGATCTCCCTGTTAATCCGTTTACACGTAGTGTTGGATGCCCAGGAGTGACGATCTACGCAGGCTGGCTGGCTGGATCAGAGAAGTCGAGAATCGTGCTCAGTGGCGTTTAATTGGAGGGGTCTACCAGCATTTAAAGATTTAAATTCGAAAAAACTATCATAACAAAAACACTTAGTCTTCTTCAGCTATTTCCATAGGAATAAACATAATTGCAGTTCAATTAAAAATATTTTACTGTTGATGCTAATACAAAAAAACAAAAACCATTTTTAATTATAAAGATAAATGTCGTGTATTAAGTGATATATTGCCTTTTACGCCTCGATATCTATATATATAAAATGAATTGCTGTTCGTTAGTCACGCTAAAACTCGAGAACGGCTGGACCGATTTGGCTAATTTTGGTCTTGAATTATTTGGAAGTCCTGAGAAGGTTTAAAATGTAGATAAACATTAAAATCGGACGTCGGACGGATTCCCTTTGTTTGTTTTAAGTTTATTTTATACAAAAAGTTTAGGTCTTTTATTTATCGATTGAGGCACTACGAAGTCTGCCGTACCACCCACAGCTAGTCATTAAATAATTAATCATTGTGTGAACAAAACTTCAACTATGAATTTAAATCGTCTGCATTCTCTCGTGTTCGCACCATATGTGTTAAATTAACTAGAGATTATGACAATCGCCGTAACGAAACACTCAAAGACAATTTAACAAAGACCTTGGTGAAATGTTCAGTGGTTTCTTTTGCAGCATCAAAATGTGCACACACGTGGACATGAAGGATCTGGTGACGGCGCATCACGAGATGGCGCACATCGAATATTTCCTCGCCTACAGGAATCAGCCGAAAGTCTTCCGTGATGGTGCTAATCCAGGTATGTTGCTAAAGGAATTTTAAAAAAAACTACCTTATACAAAAACTTATAGGTGGTAGGACCTCTTGTGAGTCCGCACGGGTAGGTACCACTACATATATTTCTTCCGTGAAGCAATAATGCGTTTCAGTTTGAAGGGTGGGGTAGTCGATGAAACTATATTCTGAACCCTTAGAACTCATATCTCAAGGTGGGTGACGGAATTTACGTTGTAGATGTCTATAGGCTCCAGTAACTTAACACAAGGTGGGCTGTGAGCTCGCGCACCTATCTAAGCAATTAAAGATATATATAAATATAAGATATAAATATAAATATATTAAGATATAAATATATATATCTTAAGCGCGACGCATCAGGGTATGTATTACATACATCACTTCCCTTTATTAAGTTTATGTAGTTAATGGGTAATGGGGCGGCCTTGTTAAAAGTTCTCCAGTGTCCTTAGTGCGAGTTTTTTAACGTTCTCGATAGCGTAAAAGTTAGTCCAATTTAGTATGCAGTTGGAACAGCGCCCCTAGCGGCAAACTTAGGCAAACGATCCCATTCCATACAAATATGAGTTAACTTTTACGCTATCGAGAACGTTAAAAAACTCGCACTAGGCACACAAGACGACATTTAAGATAAGTTCGGCCCTGAGTTCAGGAATAATGAGGCCCGACCGATCATCGTTTGAGAATTGATTCAAAACTGTACAATGTTGAATTTCATACACAGCAGACTTTGTTTTTCAAATGGAAAAAAAAGACATTAAACACATAGATCAAACTTCGTAACATTTATTTCCTAATATTGAAAACATTTTAATGCGCGTTTTAAATTTTAAAAACAAATGATTAGAATTAGATCATTATAAAACATGGCAAAATACGTGTTCGGTTGATTTACGATGTTAATAATATTTGCTTATCTTCATATTATATCAATTAATAAAGACAAATAACTTGTTTTTCGCTACGACCAGTGCCATCTCGTGATTGTTTTACGCAAATCCATCATATAGCTTAACTCAAAGATCAGCCAAACATTCAAAATTGCCACAAAACTCTAAATCCGTTTACCACATTAAGCATAAAGTCAATATTTGTCTTGTAAAATTAAACTTTTAAGCGCGTGATCAAATCTTGGAGGTAGTTCTATGATTATGTTTGCGACTTGTCAAATACTAAACCTTGTAAAAAATGCCAAATGCCTTTGTACATAATTTTCCTATTACTATGTACTATGTCTTCTTTTTTGTGGACATAAATAAATAAATAAACCAACCAAGAGAATACTAAACGAAATACATTACATTCAAAGATTGAATAAGATAGATAAATCATAATGAAAGTCATTCGAAGTATTTTTTTAATTAATTTCAAAATCTTTACCTTGAAAAGGTCAAAGAAATTACCTATCCGACCAATACGATAGTGCCGGTAGGTACGTTTAATATTTATTTATTTATTTGCTACTTTTTAATTTACAACTTATTTATAACAATAGATTTAACAAAAATAATTAAATTAAGTAAAGAACAAAACTAAATTTGAAATCACATCAAAAACAAACCTTATACACTAGTGAACAGCTTTGTAGGTAAGTACGAATAATAATATAACTAGCTTATTCGATTACTAACGAAACCATTAGAATTATTTAATATCTGTACGTAATTACAAACTTCAAAACAAAAACATTAATAAAATAGCGCCTCCAATCAACGCCATCTCTTGATAGTTTCTTGCAACTCCGTTGCACAAATCAGTGTTGCAAGCGCAATAAGTCACGAATATTTCTCCTACTCCGACAAGTCTGCGACATGTGGTAGAATTCCATTCGTTGTCGGTTAAGTATCTACATTGTCGAACAATGCGAACTTTGCTGCTTACTGCAACGTAGAAGCAAATGGTTGAAACATTATTTTTTAAAGTTTTACACGATCTAATTTGAGGATCTATTCTCGATACGTTTGTCGAAGCCCATGGACACAATCAATTCAGATAGGCGACCCAACTTGAGCCGAACGATGGCATTCGATTAAGGCAGTAATCGGCAACTTTGTCAACCAAAAAAAACAAATATAAATAACACACAATTGAAATTTATTCCAAGAGCCATTTTTTTAACATATACTTTTAATGGCCTTGTGTTTTAAAATTGTTTACACGTCTCTTACAAGGCAAGATAATAATAGATTGAGGGGTTGAAATATTAGTTAACTAGAATACGTCGAAGATGCATCGCAATAGATAGTGACTGTGGCTAATCTGTACGGACCCACAACACATAATGCTCTAGATAGCACGAAGCAGTATTAATTTAACTTCGAAAATTTTGGTTTTAACTACGTCGAGGTGGCTTAGTAAGTATACAAACAGTGCAATAAAACGCAGAGCAATATTATTAAGTTGCATTAAACCGTGCGAACTCACTTTCCATCTTAATAGTCCTGCAGAATGTTGGTTCAACAGCACCTATGTGCTCGGGCGGGTCTCTCAGGGAGCAGTTGACGACGCCCAAGCTAAACGAATCGAACTCTTCGCCGCAGCGCGGATCGTAGGCACTGTTGCAGTCGTAGCAAATAATTGGCGTTACTGGAAAATATTGTAGCAAGCTCTTAAAACGAAAGCGAGAAACGAATATAATAGCGACATCTATCGACGAATAGAAGAACCCTAGAAGTAAATATTATAGTCCTTCGGTAATTTTTATTTATTTATTGCTCACAGCCCACCTGGTGTTAAGTGGTTACTGGAGCCCATAGACATCTACAACGTAAATGCGCCACCCACCTTGAGATATAAGTTCTAAGGTCTCAGTATAGTTACAACGGCTGCCCCGCCCTTCAAGCCGAAACGCATTACTGCTTCACGGCAGAAATAGGCGGGGTGGTGGTACCTACCCGTGCGAACTCATAAGAGGTCCTACCACCAATATCGGTAGGCAGCGGCTTGGCTCTGTCCCTGGCATTGCTGAAAACCATGGGCGACGGTAAACACTCACCATCAGGTGTGCCGCTCGTCTGTCTACTAGGGCAATAAATAAATAAATCTTCCATACAGCATTTGGAATTGCAGTGGCTTAGCTAAAAGTTCTAAGAAAATCAGTTTTATAATCCGAACGATCTATAGACATGTATTCTATCAGTTTTTATTATACTTTACATATATTTATTTCATTATTAACATACTGTGTACACGGACAACTTCAATAAATAAGAATTAGTCCGTGTTAGTAGTTCAAATTAAATTGGTTTTGGGTAAAACGTTACAAATTTAATTTAGATTAGTACATGAAACCCTACGACCTCCGTGCGGACAAATCGGATCGCTGATCCTGTTACGTTGTTGACCACTGACATTTTGTAGCGTAAATATGCTGACGGCTCTAATTAGCCCACTGAGTTTCTCGCCGGATCTTATCATCATCATCATCATCAGCCCAGAGTCGTCCACTGCTGGACGTAGGCCTCTCCCAGGCCATGCCACTGAGCCTAGTCTTCGGCTCTCTTCATCCACTTCTTGCCCGCCACCGTTCGGATGTCATCGCACCATCGAGCCAGGCGGCGTCCCACATTACGTTTTCCGCTGTCATCTTCTCAATAGCTGCTATTCCGATCCGGTGGTAGATTCTGCGAAGCACTGCCCTTGCTAGGGATAGTGTTAGCAAATTCTCTCAGGTTGAGCCCGTGAGCTCACCTACCCGTCCGGGCGTGAGCTGGAATAGCTTCTAGGCCACCAGTGAATAGATAAGTAAAAATACACTCTAATACAGGTGTATTAGAGATTAGATTCGACCCTGCTCATTGCTGCCACGATGCGTTTCAGTTTGAAAGGCGAGGCAGCCGTTGTTATAAAAAACTGAGATTAAGACCTCATGTCTCAAGGTGGGTGGCGGTATTTATTTTGTAGATGGCTCCAGTAATAACAAACACCAGGAAGGCTTGAGGTCGTTCACCCGATCCAATATAAATAAATAAAACTGAAAGTCAATGTTAGTGTGGTAATGTCAGGGGAACAGCTAAGTCAGTTAATGATCCCCGCGAATCTCGTTTGACGAAGGCCATGCTATGATGCTCGAAAAACACCGGAGTGCTTATTCCTGAGACTGATGGTACTTGCCCAAAAATATCTCTGGAAACGGACTGTGGATGAACACAGTGGTTCTAGGTAGTATGAGTGAACTGTGCTCTCCTAGCGGGAGGTGCGATAGTAAAAAGGACCATCTTGAACAATTCTTCTGAGCACTCCTCAATGAATATACTCTCTATATTTATTATGATTATGTCCTCTTAACCTTATGGTGTAGATATTAAAGCTAACAGTCATAAGTCGAGATTTCGGAATTATTTTATATATTACTAGCGACCCGCCCTCGCTTCGCTTCGGAAACATTAAAACACACATGAAACCAAAAAAATAAAATAAAAAAAATTAAAAAAAAGTAGCCTATGTTCATCAGGGACAATGTCGGCTTCTAATGGAAAAAGAATTTTTCAAATCGGTCCAGTAGTTTCGGAGCCTATTCGAAACAAACAAACAAACAAATCTTTCCTCTTTATAATATTANGCTTCGCTTCGGAAACATTAAAACACACATGAAACCAAAAAAATAAAATAAAAAAAATTAAAAAAAAGTAGCCTATGTTCATCAGGGACAATGTCGGCTTCTAATGGAAAAAGAATTTTTCAAATCGGTCCAGTAGTTTCGGAGCCTATTCGAAACAAACAAACAAACAAATCTTTCCTCTTTATAATATTAGTATAGACAATTTGGGATTTTTTGTGTTTTGTACTTAGCTGGGAATGATTTTGTACGTCTTGGCATATGACGGAAGAGAATGGTTCTAGCATTAGATACATGCATTTTTTTATTCCTACCTAAGCCTTGAAAGGCTATGTCAGTGTAACCCTAACATGTAGGTGACCTCTCGGGGCTCAAACCAGGAGGTGTTGCTAACACTGACCCTAGCGAAAGCGGTGCTTCGCAGACTCTACCACTGGATCGGA